ATGAGTGGAGTCATATAGAGTTCGTCTTTCTCTGACTGGCTTATTTCGCTTAACATAATACCCTTGAGGTCCATCCACGTTGCTGCGAATGGGCCAATTTTGTCTTTTTTTATGGCTGAGTAGTATTCCATTGTGTATATATGCCATATCTTCTTTATCCAATCATCAGTTTCTGGGCATGTAGGTTGGTTCCACGTCTTGGCTATTGGAAATAATGCTGCGATGAACATAGGGGTGCAAGGGACTCTTGGGATTTCTGATTTCAGGTTCTTAGGATAGATTCCCAGTGATGGGATGGCTGGGTCATAGGGTATTTCTATTTTTAACTTTTTGAGAAATCTCCATACTGTTTTCCATAGTGGCTGTACCAGTTTGCATTCCCACCAACAGTGTATGAGGGTTCCTTTTTCTCCACAACCTCTCCAACATTTGTCGCTCTTGGTTTTGGATGTTTTTGCCAATTTAACGGGTGTAAGGTGATATCTTAGTGTAGTTTTGATTTTCATTTCCCTGATGATTAGCGATGATGAATATCTTTTCATGTGTCTATTGGCCATATTTATATCTTCTTTTGAGAAATGTCTGTTCATGTCCTCTGCCCATTTTTTGATCGGGTTGTTTGTTTTTTTGTTGTTAAGCCGTGTGAGTTCTTTGTATATTATGGAGATTAACCCTTTGTCGGATAAGTGGCTTGTAAATATTTTTTCCCAATTAGTGAGCTTTTTTTTGTTTCAATCCTGTTTTCCCTTGCCTTGAAGAAGCTCTTTAGTCTGATGAAGTCACATTTGTTTATTCTTTCTATTGTTTCCCTCAACTGAGGAGATATAGCGTCTGAAAAGATTCTTTTGAAACTGACGTCAAAGAGTGTACTGCCTATATTCTCTTCTAGAAGACTTATTGTCTCAGGCCTAATCTTTAGGCTTTGATCCATTTTGAGTTTATTTTGGTGTGTGGTGAAAAAGACTGGTCAATTTTCAATCTTTTGCATGTGGCTGTCCAGTTTTCCCAGCACCATTTGTTGAAGAGACTTTCTTTTCTCCATCGTAGGCCCTCTGCTCCTTTGTCGAAGATTAGCTGTCCATAGATGCGTGGTTTTATCTCTGAGCTTTCAATTCTGTTCCATTGATCTGTGGACCTGTTTTTGTACCAGTACCATGCTGTTTTGATCACTGTGGCTTTGTAGTATGTTTTGAAATTGGGGATTGTGATTCCACCGGCTTTGTTGTTCTTGCTCAGGATTGCTTTAGCAATTCGCGGTCTTTTGTTGCCCCATATGAATTTTAGGATTCTTTGTTCAATTTCTTTGAAGAATGTTCTTGGGATTCTGATTGGGATAGCACTGAATCTGTAGATTGCTTTAGGTAGTATGGACATTTTAACTATGTTTATTCTTCCAATCCATGTGCATGGAATGTCTTTCCATCTCTTTATGTTGTCATCAATTTCTTTCAAGAAAGTCTTGTAGTTTTCAATGTATAGATCCTTCACTTCCTTGGTTAAGTTTATCCCAAGGTATTTTATTCTTTTCGTTGCGATTGTGAATGGGATTGAGTTCTTGAGTTCTTTTTCTGTTAGTTCATTGTTAGTGTATAGAAATGCTACCCACTGATTTATGTATGTTGATTTTATACCCTTCTATTTTGCTGTAGCTGTTGATTATTTCTAATAGTTTTTCTATGGATTCTTTGGGGTTTTCTATATATAAGATCATGTCGTCTGCAAACAGCGAGAGTTTTACTTCTTCATTACCTATTTGGATTCCTTTTATTTCTTTTTCCTGCCGAATTGCTCTGGCCAACACCTCCAGTACTATGTTGAATAGGAGTGGTGAAAGTGGGCACCCTTGTCTTGTTCCTGTCCTCAGAGGGATGGCTTTCAGTTTTTGTCCATTGAGTATGATGTTGGCTGTAGGTCTGTCATATATGGCCTTTATTATGTTGAGGTACTTTCCTTCTATACCCATTTTATTGAGGGTTTTTATCATAAATGGGTTTTGGATCTTGTCGAATGCTTTCTCTGCATCTATTGAGATGATCATGTGGTTTCTGTTTTTCATTTTGATTTTCCTCATTTTTTTAAATTCTTAGTTCTCTTTCTTTCTCTGTCTGGCGCCATTCAGCCTGTCCGTCCTTGATTATGCTAATTTTCTCCTCTATGTTGTCTACACGGGCATTCAGGGAATCCATATTCTGTTTTATCTGGTCCATTGTGTTTTTCATCTCCAGTAACTCTGTTTGATTCTTCTTTATGACTTCAATCTCTTTTGTGAAGTAACTCCAGAACTCGGCTTGTTTCTCTATCTTTCTCTCTACCTCATTAAGTTTTTTGATTATAGCTGCTCTGAATTCATTATCACTTAGTTTACCTAATTCCAAGTCCTCAGGACTTAATTCTGTGTTTTTATTGTTTTCCTTCTGGTCTGGGGCTTTTATAAATTGCTGGATGGTAGAGGAGCGGTGTTTTCTCATGGTGGTAGAATTCAGTTGCAGTTACAGCCTGTCGCCACTAGATGGGGGTCGAGAGCGGCATGTTATGAGCTCTCCCCTTGGGGCAAGATGGCTGCGCCCACTGGCTTCGCTGGGGGGAGGGGCTGTTACACACGCCGGTCTGGGTTCAGATCAGTTCTGTTCTCTGGTCTCCCAAGGCCCTTGATTTATAGGGTCCCCACGGACAGAAGCTTTACCCCAGTCAGCGGGTCTCCACTGAATCAGCGGCAGGAGTCCTGGATGATCCCTCCGTTGCGCGGCCCCTCCCCAACTCCTTCCTGACCCCGTGCCGCAGCGATCACAGACTCTAGGGGAGGGAGCGATGTTCTCTCCTACCGTTCCAGCGCCTCCGGAGGTGTAAGCAAGGTTATGATCTCCGCCTTCTTGGTATTGTAGGTCTCTAACGAGCTGGCATTATGTTTGTTCTCTGAAATTCAGTTCTTCCAATCTTTTGCTGTATTTTGGAGGGGAGAGAATCCCGGGTCAGCTCACCCTGCCATTTTGCTCTGCCCCCTCTCCTGCCTTCTCTGGTTTTAATTAAGCATTTCATGATTCTACTTGTTTTCTCCTCTCTTAGCCCAGCAATTATACTTCTTTTTTTGCTTTTTTAAATGGTTGTTCTTCACTTTGCAGTATACATATACAACTAACCCAAGTTCTTTCAAATAACACTATACCACTTCACAGGCAGTGCAAGTATCTTATAACAGAGAATTTCCAGCTCAGTTCCTCTCTCCCATCCCTTATAACACTGCTGTTATTCATGTCAATTATCCATAAACTATAATTACCCTATACAAGTTGCTATTATTATTTGGAACCATCTGTTATCTGTTAGATCAATTAAGACTTTAAAAAACAAAAAATTTGATTTTACCTCCATTTATTCCTTCTCTAACACTCTTCCTTCTTTATGCAGCTCTGAGTTACAGACCTATATTATTTTCCTTCTTTCTGAAGAATTTCTTTAACATTTCTTGAAAAGCAGAATTACTGGCAACAAATTCCCTCCGTTTTTATTTGTCTGAGTCCTCTCTTTCACTTTTGAAGGATAATTTAGCTGGATACAGAATTCCAGGTTGGTGGTTTTCTTCCTTGCAACACTTTAAATATTTCACTTCCGGGGCTGGCCTGGTGGCGCAGTGGTTAAGTTCACACGTTCTGCTTCTCAGTGGCCCGGGGTTCGCCAGTTTGGATCCTGGGTGTGGACATGGTACTGCTTGGCACACCATGCTGTGGTAGGCGTCCCACGTATAAAGTAGAGGAAGATGGGCACAGATGTTAGCTCAGGGCCAGGATTCCTCAGCAAAAAGAGGAGGACTGGCAGTAGTTGGCTCAGGTCTAATCTTCCTCAAAAAAAAAAAAAATTAAATATTTCACTTCCCTCTCTTGCTTGCATGGTTTTTAAAGAGAAATCTGATGTAATTCTTATCTTTGCTCCTCTATAGGTAGTGCTTTTTTTCCCTCTGGCTTTTTCTCAAGATCTTCCTGTTGGTCTTTGATTTTCTGCAGGCTGAATATGATATGCCTACAAGTAGATTTTTTGGCATTTATCTTGCATGGTGTTCTATACTGCTGCAATTAAAAAATTCAAATACACTTAAAGAAAATAAAATAAAAAGTACAGCACCCCTGTAGCACTAACCACATTTTAGGTGCTCAATAGGTACATGTGGCTAGTAGCTACTAAATTGGAGAGTGCAGGTCTAGATGGTGGAAGGTAGGGGTCTAACCTGAGGCCTCTTGGCAGTGAGTGGCCCACCTTCTAGGAAAACATCTTCTAGGACTCCATCACCACCAGCACCTGAGAACACTGGTGTTCCTATCCACCTCCTTGCCTCTGCTCATACCATACCTCCTCTCTAAACTGCCCCTCTTCTCTGTATTTTACTTTTTTCCCTGGCTTAACTGAGGTCCTAGCTACTCACAACACTTTCTTTGGAAGGAAAGAATAATGTGTTTCACTTCATTCCCTTTAATTCAAGAAACATGACTGGGCATATCACCATACAGATTCTTTCACATCATCAGGGCCTAGTATTGAGCCTCACTCTTAGGCTTTGCAGATTGATTTCACATTCAGTGATACAAAAAGATGTTAATGGGACCAAACATGCTAGTGTTGTCAGCATTTTATTCCGTCAAGTAAGAAAATTAAAAAAGACAACTCTCTATTGTTGGCAATTTCACAACTAAAAGCACATTCTAATAGCGCCCTCCCTTCCATCTTCCTCACAAAGTGGGCAATTAAATGAAGCTTTGCATTATTTTTCTGATTTGGGCCTGGAACATGAAAACTTTGTCTCTGACCGTCAGCAAAGTAAAGACATCTAGGAACCACTGCCCTACATAAGTCCAAACCTGATCCAAACTTGATCTCTTTTCCTCTTCAATTTATCTGATTTTTGTCACCTTTTCCCGTTCCTATATGTCTCTTACTAGTTGTGTGACCTCTGGCATGCTATTTAGCCTCTCTGGTCTTTGTTTCCTATGTTGTGAAGTTGCTGTAAGGATTAAATGAGTTAACCCATATGCCCAGAACTTTGGACATCCTCATTGTTGTTCAAGGCGGGTATGCCCTGGAGTGTCCTGGCTGCAGTTGGTCTAGGGCTTGGGATAGGGTTGGGGCTTCAAAGGGACAGAAGTGAAGTGTGACAAGGCTATAAGACTGAAAAGCCTCCTACTCTCTGTCCTGAGAATAGCATTCTGCTGTCTCATTTCACAGGCCCTTATTTTCATCCAAAATGAGAACCCGGCTGGGGTAAAGACCACGAACGGTCAAATCTGCCACAATGAACAAAATGGATGAAATCTGTGTTAAGGACATGAGTACTGAGATCTACCAAGGATTCTTCAGGTCTAAGGAGTTGGAGGAGCTGGAGAAACCTACAGGGGCCCTAAAAACCTCCTGCATGTTACATAGCTATCCTTTAGGTTCTTTCCCATCCTGTGAGGCACTTAACTAGGCACACCTCCAGAGCAGTCGACCTTGGGGTCAAGAATGTTGAACTTGACCTCAAAAGTTTACCTCTGTTTCTCCAAGTTTCATGATTTCACTTTTTTTAAACACTGCAAAAAGATAATCAGCTTTATTGTTGCCTGGTAAAGACAGGCTTAAATTATGTGTGCACACAGAAGTAAAGGTTAAGGAATATTACCTTGATGCAGGTATCCATTTTTGTACTTTGCCTCAGACTATTACTCTCTAAGAAATCCTCTTAAAATTAGTGCTCACAAACTGGAGGCTCATGGGCTGAATTCAGCCTATATAAATGTTTTGTTTGGACTGTACATTAAAAAAATTCTTTCAAAGTAACGTTTAAAAATGATACTTTAAAAAACAAGAGCTTCTCTTTAAAAGTTATAAGATATGACGGCACCGGGTTCACAGTGGCACGAGGCAGCAACTGGCTCTGACAGTTGTTTCGTTCAAAAGCGTTAAATGGTCTTCAATTCGCCAATGCCAGCCATGCACAGAGGACCTGCACGTGCACTTGAACCTCTGGGCACTTAAGTGAGCGCTTGCTGGTTTGGAAGAAACCTGAGCTGGCTACCCACAAGGGGGTCAGGGGCGGCCTGAGATGGTAACTTTTAAACTGAGACCTGCAGAAATGAGTGAGTGATCACAACCTCCGTGCCTCAGTTTCCTTGTCTGTAAAATGGGGCTGACAACATGCAGTTGAGGGAAGAGCTGGCCCTAACTCGGGGCCCGGGGGCACCATTACCATCCATGCTAACGTTCTGGGAAGTCCCCGACCCCAACGCGGCCCCGGCCCGGGCCCGAGCAGGGGCTGGGGGCTGGGGCCTCGCTCTCCACTCCTCCCATCCATGGGCCCCGCGCTCCGCCGAGGTCGGCCCCCGGGCGCCGAGAGGCGTGGCCGGCCCGCGCGGACCCGGCGGCGGCCATGGGCTCGGTGGTGGAGTACAAGGGGCTCAAGGCCGGCTACCACTGCGGCTACTGCGACTGCGAGGAGGGCAAGGCGTCCTGCGGTGAGTGTCCCGGTCGACGGGGCCGCCGCCGCCGCCCGCGTCCACCCCCAGCCAGTCCGCCCGCCCGGCACGGCCGGGCCAGCCACTCGCGGGAAGCCCCCAAGCCCTGCTCCCCTGCTCCCGCTTCCCTTTCCCACTCGTTTCTTCCCCGACCGTTTCCCTTCACGCTCAGTCTCGGCGCCTCCCCCTCACCGAACATGGTGGTCCCTCTTGGAGAAGGAGCGGAAATAGCGGAAGGCTGCCCTCGGTCAAGATGGCGCGGGCGGCGTCGGCGCCGGGGACTCGCGGCGAGGCCCGGCTGGCGGGCGCCGAGCGGCTTCGCGCGCGCCTCAGGGCGCCCGGGCGGCGCGGGGCATTGTGGGGTGGCGGCGGCGGCAGCGGCGGTGGTGGTCTCGGGCTGGGCCGCGTCGCTTTTAGGGCCGGGGCCATGGCTTTCTGGGCCGCTCTCTCGCCTAGCATCGTGGAGTATTTCGAGGGCGAGGACTTCTACCGGTGCGGCTACTGCAAGAACGAGTCGGGCAGTCGCTCCAATGGTGAGCGGGCCGGGCCGGGCCGGCGGGCGGGGAGGGCGCCGCGGCCTCGGGGGCTCCGCGCAGGGCCGGCTGCCTTGGGGGTCGCGGCGCCCGGCCCGGGCCGACCGGCTCGAGGGACCGCGGCGGCTGGAGCCCCTGCCCGGCCCCTGTCTCGCGGAGAGAGTGCGGAACGGGGCTCCCCCGCAGGGGCGGTGACTGACAGACTCAAAGCGGACCTCACCTCTGATTCAGCAGGGAAGCTTCTAGGCGCTTATTCCTCACACAGGTGTAGTGAGGGTCCTGCAGTCGCTAAAGGTGTGGAAGCAGGTGTCCATCATCAATGGGAGACGATAAATAGATGATGGCATGCCGAGCCGGGGAGCACTGTAGTGTGGTCCTTCGCGGCTGGGGTTGATCTATAAGTGCTGATGGTGTTGTAGGAGCATCCCCGATAAGAAGTACGGAACGAGGGATGTAGGACTGAGTGTCGGGTGGTGTTATTTATGTAGGAAAAGGTAGGTGTGCACGTGGGCATGGGCATCCTTGGATAAAACGTCTCTGAAAGAGTATACAAGAGCCTGGTGACCATAGTCGCTGCTGGCGAGGGAGCCTGTTTGTATTGATGTGTTTGAGAATTTTACCAGGTGCTTATATGCCCTGTCATTCCTCCACCCACCTCGATGACGACGACAACAAAGCCAGCCTACAGCCCCTCCTGCCCCCGCATCATGATTCAGGGTTCTTTCGGAAGATTTGTTGCTTTAAACAAAACTGTGTTTATTTTCTGCTGTCATTCATTGGCAAATGTAGAATTTCTTCTTTTAAAGAATAAGGCAGCATTGTGGAAAATGGGATATCCATTGAAGATATAAATTTAGGTAGTTTCCATTTAAAAAAAAATTTCACATGCCCTGCAGTAGGGGAATGATTTGGACGATTATGGTGTGTCCATTTACTCGTTAATTAAAAGTGTTTATTAGGTGTTTTTGTGGCTAAGAGGGAGTAGAATGTAATATGCAATTACATTAGGAGTGAGGATTACAAAGACGAGGTAAGCGGAGAAATGTTTAGAGGGTAGAGTTAAAGGGAGAAAATAAAGAGGATGCAATTGACATTTGTGACATGATTACAGGTCTGGGAGGGAAAAAAAGCCTGGTGAAACACACCAGATGGTGACATTGGTTGCCTTAGGGTGGTAGATATTCCTCTCCTATTTTTGGAATTTTAGCATTGTGAAAAATGCTAATATGTAAGTAAGTAATAAATTATATTAAACATTTCTAAAATTAATATTTGCGTAGATCTGTAATTATTTTTTCCGGTAATTTTAGTAAGAGAAAATTGATTAATATAGGTATCTTTTGTCTAAAGTCGTGTAAAAGAAACCTGTTTTCAACCTTTTCATCTAAAGAGAGAACTGAATTTCTATCATCTTGATTTTAATTCTAATAATAATCTTTGCTGTAGGGCACCCACCTATTGGGTGTGTAGGTTTTATTATGCCTATTGTACCGATGATGAAATTGAGTGTCATTGAGAAACTTGGTGTTAATGGCCCCCACCAGGCTTCTGGACTTTTCTATTGTACTCTAGTGTTTGTGCTTTTCTCACTACATCCTGCTCTGCCAAGCCCACCTCTATCTTTACATACCTCTGCTGCAGTTTACTGTTTATCAGAGGAAGAAATCATTTTTCTTTTAACATTAACTCAAATATACCTTTTAATGTTTTCCCATAGGCTTCATTTTTTTCATGGTTGCATAATTATTCCATCATATTGATAAATGATAGTCCCTGTAATCACTTGTCTGTTCCTGAGTATTTGGGTAACTTTCAGTTTTTATGGGTAACTTTTAAAACTGAAAAAGAATATTGCTGTATACTTTTGTCCTATTTTCACTGTTCAAGACTATGCTGTAAACATATATTAAAATCAGGAGAATTTATATGCACAGGAAAACATGTGCTTCCTAATTCTGTTGAAGAGACTAACTTATTAAATTATTGGAGATATTATGGTTTAAAGATGCAATGTAATCCAATTGCAGCGAGGACCTAAATTTATGATGTCATAGAGACTATTGACTAATCCTGAATTAAATGTAATCACTTTGAAGTGTTTGGTTTTTTTGAACTAAGATAAATATCTCTCTCTTCATTTGTGTTGTGTATTATGTGAAACTAACAAGTGTGAAGTATGTGCAAACTTTCGTTTCTCCAATGTGAATTAAATTTTTTTTTGCCTCAATATTCACATTTAAAAAATAATGCTTTGCGTTAAAAAAAAGTGAAAAGTTAAACCTGCTATAGTTAACATGGCAGTTATTTTTTCAGGCATGTGGGCACATTCCATGACAGTACAGGATTATCAGGATCTTATCGACCGAGGATGGCGAAGGTAAAGCTCTGATACAAAAGCACTTTTCTTATTACTCAGGTGCTTCTTATAATGGAAAAATATTATTTGCCTTTAAAATGTTTTCCTGTTGTTGGAAAGGGGTTTAAGAAATTTTTTATTATATTCTTTTGTATAGTGATTTTGCGCTCTCTCCTTTTAAAGATATTTACTAGGAAAACTTCAAATATGCACAAATGTAGAGAGTACATTATAATAAACCTCATGTACCTATTACTAAGCTTTAACAGTTGTTAACATTTCACCAGTCTTGTTTCATCAGTTCTCCTTGCTCCTTGTGATGGGTTGAATGTTGTGTCCCCCCAAAGTTCGTATGTTAAATCCTAATTCCCAGTATGATGGTATTTGGAAGGGGGGTCTTTAGGAGATGATTTAGTTATGAAGATGGAGCCTTGGTGAATGGGATTAGTGCCCTTATAAAAGAGACCATAGGGAGCTCCCTTGGCCCTTTTGCATGTGAGAATACAAGGAAGAGATGAACCAGGAACCTTGTCTTCACCCAACACCAAATCTGCCAGCGCCTTGATCTTGGACTCTCCAGCCTCCAGAACGAAGAGGAATAAGTTTCTGTTGTTTATAAGCCCCTTAGTCTATTGCCTTTTGTTATAGCACATGAACAGACTAAGATACTCCTTTTCTCCCCCCCAAAATAATTTAAAGCAAATTTCAGATATCATGTCAGTATACCTGTAATAAGTATATGTTTCTAAGAGAGAAGGATTCTTTTTTCCTTTTTAGCATATCCGTAATACCATCATCATACTTTACAAAATCAATAATAATTTTTTGATGTCACCTGTTACCTAGCTTTGATTAGGTTTTCTGTTTTTCTCAAAAAAAAGTCTTTGTCGTCTTGTTATTTTTATAGTTGGTTTATTTGAATCAGGATTCCATTAAGGTTCATACATAGCCTTTGATGGCTAAGTTTTTTTGGTAGTTATTTTTATGTAGATGATTTAAAAGTAACTATTGGGTTAAATTCCTTACGTAAATATAAGCATTGTTGAGTACCCTGTGCCAATACTCCCCGAAAGACATGGGATTGAGCATAACAAATGAATCTTCATAACTTTCCTTAAACTTAATAATGAGGCCTGAGAGGTAGATAGAGGTGAGATGTTGAAGGACTTCGTATGCCATGATAGGGACTTCTGTTTTTTAAAGGCAGAGGCGAGCTGTTAAAGGCTTCTATGTTAGAGAGAAATGTGATGGAATTTGTGTTTTGGAAATAATCATTCAGGCAGCAGAGAGGTATTTGAGGGGGTGATCCTGGAGGCAGGAGCCTAGTTCCGGAGATTATTGCAGTGTCCAAACGTGAGGTGGTGAGGACTACTGTCATAGGCAGTAGCAGTGGTGGTAGGTTAGGCGATAGACAGGAGGGGACAGATTGAAGATACATTTTAGAAGTAGAAAGCTTGCTGACAGGATATGGAGGTGCATTAGAGAGAGGAGTTTGAGAGGACTTCCAGGTTTCTGGCTTGGGAACTGAACTCGTGTATGTTTGCTTGGGTGCCATAAAATGCTATAGATTGGGTGGTTTAAACAACAGAAATGTGTTTTCTTACTGTCTGAGGCTGGAAATCCAAAATCAAGGTGTCGGCAGCTTTGGCTTCTTCTGAGGCCTCTCTCCTTGGCTTGCACGCAGCTGTCTTCTCACTTTGTCCTCACGTGGTCCTTCCCCTTTGTGTGCACATCCCTAGTGCCCAGTGTCTCATTGTGTGTATCATTTCCTTTTCTTATAAAGACACTGGTCAGATTTGATTAGGGCTCAACAGCTTCGTTTTAACTTAATCACCTCTTTAAAGGGCTTATTTCCAAATGTCACATCTTGAAGTACTGGGGATTAGGGCTTCAACATATGAATTTTGGGGGAACAAAATTCATCCCATAATATCATGTTCTGCCATTAACTGAGATCCAGAAAGCATGGAAAGGATCAGGTTAGTTTTGGGGTACTTTGTGCTGGTGCAAGTGGAACTCCCAAGTGTGAATGTCTAGGCAGCAGCATACGTTAGTCCCACAGCATCGGGGCATTTTTTTCTGATGGTCTTTGTGGTATTGAGGATTGGTGGTAGGTTGAGGGATTGCAGATCCTGATGCGAGGGTAATTGAGATGACTCACCTTGGGGTACATATGTAAAGGTTTAGGAGAGAAAGCTGGGCGCTGGTCCTTGGTACACCCCCATTTCAAGATTACTTAGTTTACGAAGAGTAGCTAAACCTGAACGCATTATTACACAATTGATTAGATTTTACTGTAATTAATTTTGTGCTCTTGTACTAATCTACTTTGGCACATGTGAAAAATGTGTAAGAAATTAACAAAACTATTTTATAATTTTAGAAGCGGGAAATATGTGTACAAACCTGTCATGAACCAAACATGTTGTCCTCAGTACACAATACGGTAAGAATTTTGATTTCTAGAAAGAGTTTTAGTATTTTAGAAAGAGTATTTAGTATTTAGTATTAATGTTTTAGTAGAAACTTGCTTTTCTTAAATGCTAATTTTTGTTCTAGGTCAACATGTTTTATAGGGAAGAGCAAATGAGTTATGTCTTTCTACATACTGATGCTAATTCGTTTGTTGACCGGTAGCTTTTAATAATGTTTAATTGGTTTGGATATAAATAGTGATATGAAAAAATGCCCTTTTTACTTAGCAGTCTAGTCAATGATACCATGAAATGTTCAGAAAATATTGGAAAATACTCAAATTACTTTTAGATATCAAATTTTTATAAGTTTTAGCTTGGGGCTTTCCCCATTCTGGTGTGTTACTTGGCACAGTGCTTACATTCAGACAATGCTGTAGGATCCTGTATGGGGAGGAGGAGGGCTGACACTTAACGGCTATGTGTATTGTGTCCAGTTTTCTTCATTGGAAAAACACGCTAAAAAGTCTATTTTCCTACAAAGTGTTTGCTTAATTTTTCGTGATCTTTTGGGTTTCCCTTGTGCCCGGCTCACCCCGCCCTAACATGAAAGGACTTTCCCTCCTTCTTTGATTATAAAGGTTCTCCTCCCCTTCCCCCTTGTCCTCTTCCTCCTCATTGTTGTCCTCCTCTTCCTCCTCATTGTTCTCTTCCCCCCCTCCCCTTCTTCTGGTAGAAAATAAGGAAATTAACATTGTGAAGCATTTGTCTACAGTTTCAATGTATATATATACTCTAGATAAAAAAGGAAACATTGCTTTTTGGCTGGTCCACACAGCTGTCTCCTTTAGTTGATCTTAACTTGTTTTTGGGTTGTAGACTCTTTTGAGAATTTGATGAAAGTTATAGATCCTCTCTGCAACAAAACAACACAACAAGGGAGGGGGCATATAGACAAAAATATGTAACATTTTACGTGTTAATTTTAGAATAATCACAGACTCCCAAAGTTGCACTGATTCCTGGTTAAGAGTCTCTTATGTAACTGGTCGTAGGACTGGGACAGTAAGGAGAAAAGATGGGTGTCTGGTTTGGTGACACCATCTTATTAATTATACAAAGAGTAAAATGAGAGAGCAGCTGTGCTGTCCTCTTTCAGCTTTAGTGGTTATGAAGTGGTGACATCTTCAAAGGCACAAGTCATTTTCCTTCAGATGGTAATTTATTATTGGATTATGGTCAGGATTCTGTTCAGATAAGTCTGAAGTTGATTGGCCTGAACCCTGAGAATCTCTGATCAGGAAAGACCTATTTGAGTGCGTTAAAGGAAAAGTTAAAGTATCTATAATTTATTGGTTGCCTGTTACATGCAAAGCATTGTTCCAGGTATATTGCTTTGAAGAAAAGGGATTCAGTTAATACTGCAAATCAAAGTAATTATAAAATGTGGTTTTTTTGCATTTTGTAATTTTGCATGGAATCAAATGTTTCCTGAGTTGTTATTCTTTCCACAACTTCATTATATATATTGGTCTTAGGGAGTCATTTTGCATATATATACTCTTTTGGTTATTTCACTTTGTTTATTGTGGTAGTTATAATGAGACCTAATGTAAAGGCAGGGCCAGTATAGCCTACAGTTTAGCTTCTTGTTAGGCAGACGTTAGGGGCCGCCCAGTACATGAGTGTAAATGAGGATGAACTTCGCTGGCTATGATTTTTTTTTTTTAGTTTTAATTTTTATATAGAATTATTTATGCTAATAATTTAAAGAACCAAAGAGTTGTGTAAAGCTTATTTTGCAAGATAGCAGTCTCCCGAACCCCCATCCCATTTCCTCTTACCCGGTGCAGTCGCTTTCAAATCTTTTAACTGATTCTTTTGCTTTTTCATCTCCCTATCTTTAAGTAACGTGCTTATATTATTATAATCCTTTTTGTTTGTTTGTTTTCTCCATTATCTCAGCTTCTTTCTTTGAAAGATAAAGATTTAGCTTTATTTCTCCCCAGTTCCCCCGTCACATTCAAGTTCCTTTTTGTCCTCATTCTTAACTTTACAACTTAGTATTGTTATTTTGGATACATATAACCGCATGATTATGACCATCTAACTGTGCTTCACAACTGAGTCATATTGTAAAGCTGTGATTACTTTTTCTTTTCTGCACAAGTTTTTGCTTTCCTTGGAGTTCATAATTGTCTTTTGTTTGCATAGTCTTCTAAGTACCTATCCCCACCTTATTTAGAAATGTTCCCCTAGCTGTGTAAATTTCCTCTTGGTATGTTTAGATGCTTCCGATACTCTTATCACTTTTATCTTCTTAATGAAGATCTCTTGTGGAGTCTTCTGACCTGCTCTCATCTGGACAGGTTGCCTCTAGACCTGATGCATCACTGTCATCCTGGGATCTCTTTTCATTGTCATCTTGGGGGTTTTCTTTGGCTCTCAAGTTGGATCCCTTTTCCTCTCTCCTTTGCCCTCTTTCTTGGATCATTCCCTCATTTTAATGAAGCACATCTTCTAAGAGCTTCCTGAGAAAAAGTGCATGAGAGGTAAATTTTGCCAGTTTGGATCCTGGAGACAGACATGGCACTGCTTGCTCATCAGGCCATGCTGAGGTGGTGTCCTGCATGCTACAACTAGAAGGACCCACAACTAAAAATATACAACTATGTATTGGGGGGTTTTGGGGAGAAAAAGGAAAAATAAAAAAAAAGAGGCTCGTTTTTGCCTCTTTCCTGAAAGTTTGCATTTTTCTGTTGGGTTGTGTGGGAGTCATCTTTGCAGAGTTGGGGAGGGTATCTGACATTCAACTGCTTCCAAAACAGACTTTCAAGGGATCTTGCTGTTTTTAGACCTGCCTTCACTCATATCTCTCGAGGTATCAGATATCACCAATCCTTAAGACTTTTAGGGGGGATGTAGAGAAAGTTGGATTTCTTTTTGGCTTGTCTCACTGTTGGCTTAGGATTCAGCTTTCTTTGGTTGGTCTGCTAAGTCAGTTACCACTTGTACATCTGCTTTCTAGCTTCTAACATTTCTCCCATTCTCTTTTTCCAATTGGTTTACGTGTTTTTCTTTTTTTCTAATCCCTTAAGTGTAGTTTTTGCGAGATTTGGGGTGGGATTAGAGGCTACATTAAGCTCCATCCTCACCCAGAAATCCCGGACGTGAGCTTTGCCTCGTTGTAATAAATACTATTCAGAACTGAGTTTATTTCTTCAAAGTTTGAGTTTACTTTTTAAATATTTATTTTGCTTTTCTAGGTGTCGACCTTTACAGTTTCAACCATCAAAATCTCACAAGAAGGTTTTGAAAAAAATGTTGAAATTTCTGGCTAAAGGGGAAATTTCCAGAGGAAATTGTGAGGGTAAGATGAGATGAGGGTCTAAAAACTATTTACCTTAAATTGATGTATCTTTCCAAGGTTCTCACTTTCAACCATTTCTTAAGTTAGCTGGGAGAAGGGGTCCTTACTGCATCATACTCCTGTTACTACAGTGATGACAATTGCTCTTGGCACTCCTGTTACTGTTACCACTGGCCCCCAAATCCAGGATATGGGGAATATATGTCAGGGAAAATCTAGTTTGGGAAGAAGATTGAGGACTGTTTTAAAGATGCTGTGATTTCCTGGAGTTTTTTGAAATTTTAGTTTTCACAGTGCTTTGACAACTCTTATCTTATGTCATCCTAATAATATCCTTATGAAGTAAATAGAAAGTGGTATCATCTCTGGAGAAACAGATGCTTATATGCAACCTACACAAGATTGCACAATCGCTTTTAATGCTGAGTAAAGCTCAGATTTTTCTGTGTTTGGTAAGGCTTACTTCAGTAAATTATATTGCCTGAAATTCTATTTCTTCTTTGATAAATTTTGAATTATGAGTGAATTTCCTAAAAGATAATTAGTCATATTTAATTTGGTTACAGATACTTTGCTTTTTCAGTTTTTCAGTATTTTTACTTTTTTCTTTTTAAAGTTGTCCTGTAAGCAGTGCCTAATACATGCACATAAGAATTGGGAATGCCACCAGTTTTTAGAGCTCTCCCTCACTTCTGCCGTAGGAAATGCCAAATCCTGGGAGCCTCCCACCCCAGTCTTAGCTTGTTACTTCATTCCCTAAGTATGTTTTGAGTGCCTGTAATGTCCCAGTCCCTGTTTTAAGCACTGGAGATACAGTGGCCAGCAAGACAGGTAAGTTCTTTGCCCTCATGCACTGTCTTTAACCGACCAGGACTCAGGACAGCTTGGCACAGACTTGGCAGAACTGAGGACAACAAAGAGGCTGGAATGCTCAGGATCATAGAGGTTCATGGGCAGTTGGAGCATTGGGAACATCAGAATTTTGGTGCAGCTCTGATTAGTATTGTTGGTACATAGTCTTTTTTTTGTTTTTGTTTAAGTGAGGAATATTGGCCCTGAGCTGACATCTATTGCCAATCTTCCTCTTTTTACTTGAGGAAGATTGTCCGTGAGCTAACATTTGTGCCAGTCTTCCTTTATTTTGTATGTGGGACGCCACCACAGCATGGCTTGATGAGTGGTGTGTATGTCCTCCCCCCAGGATCTGATGCTGTGAACCCTGGTCCACCAAAGCAAAGCATGTGAACTTAACCACTACATCACCAGGCCAGCCCCTGTTGGTACATAATCTTAAAAGTTAAATAGATTTTTTTGGTTAGTATAAAATGTTGTAGGTTTTTTTTGGCGTGTGTGAGGAAGATTCGCCCTGAGCTAACATCAGTGCCAACCTTCCTCTACATTTTATGTGTGATGCCTCCACAGCATTGGCTGATAAGTGGAGTAGGTCTGTATCTGGGATCCGAATCCACAAACCCCGGGCCACCAAAGTGGAGCCTGTGGAACTTTAACCACTTGGCCACAGGGCCAGCCCCAATATAAATTTGTTTTCCATGGCCAGGAATCATGTTTTGAGTTTCAGAAATTAATGTTCAGATCAGCTTCGAGGATGCTGTCCATTTGTAAATTGACAGTTGCCTGTCTTTTTATGTAGCTTTTACTTTTGGTTCTTTGACTTAGTACAGTGTTCTGAATTGTTTATGTCTGCAACTGAATTCATAGCAGCGATGTACTTGTTAGCATAAAAGGCTAAAATAGCTGTAAATGAGAGACACCAAAATGCAATGACTAGAAAAGTGATAGAAGTCTGTTTCTTTCCTCATGTGACAGTCCAGTGTGGGTGCTCCAGGTCGGCCTGCAGCACTGCTCCCTCCAAGTCTTTCTGGGACTCTCTTCAACATGTGATTTCCAAGGTTGCTCTGGTTATTACTGATCTAGCCAGTAGGGAGGGGGAAAGGGTAGAAGTTCAGGGTCACAAATTTCCTTTAAGACGAGAGGCAAAATTGGGCATACCAGTTTGGTTATATTCCATTAGTGGGAGCTTGGTCACAGCTTGCAAAGGGACTGGCAGCGCATTCCCTTGCGTGGGGGCCACAGTCTCAAGTCTCAACTGCAGCTCTGTGACTTTGGCAGACGGAGAATGGATTTGGTGGACACACAGTAGTCTCTGCCACATTGGATAAAAGGGACCTTTTTTTACCTTTATATATCTTCACTGTGTCAGTTGGCCTGGCTGATGGACTTTGATTTCTTCTGATTTGTAGATGAGCCCATGGAGCCCGCCATGGAGGACGCTGTTGCTGGTGACTTTGGGTTAATAAATAAATTGGATATCCAATGTGACCTTAAAACGCTCAGTGATGACCTCAAAGAGAGCTTAGAGAGTGAAGAGAAGAAGAAAGGAAAGAGCTCAAAGAAAGAAGAATCTAATGAATTAAGTCGGTCACAAGACATAGAAGAGAAGTTGGGCTCTGGTGAACCATCGCATTCAGTTAAAGTGCATACAGCTCCTAAGCCAGGTAGTGAGAGTTTGTCATCATGCCGTGTTAAAGTCATATTAAGTTATTTCTTTGTGCCTGAGACCTTGTAACCCTGGGCCCTCTCATCAGCTAAAAAGCTGAATTACTTATGAAATCTGTAAAATAGGTCCCTGTTTTATACAACTTATTATTACCTGGATTTAGATGGTCAAATCACCTTTTTTAAAAACTGTTATATTTAAAAATCCTGAAATAATAGTCTTATTATCCCCAAATACGGACATTTTAAAATAGTTCCATTTCTTCTTACTACCTTAGGGCCCTAGAAGTTTGAGAACCAAATTTTTGTCGGTGAAAATGTATGGTGGTAAACATTTTTATTTTTGGTGTTAAGTGAGATAAAGTAAATTTTAGGTATTATGTCCCAAAACACAGACATTGTAAAATTCTTTAGTTTATTATCAGATTTCTTTCTGTAATCATAATAAATTTTAGTTTAAAATTTACAGATTTTGATGTTTAACTTTACCTTTAATAAGGTAAGATTTTTTCCTATATTTTCACTTATAAAAGAATTAGGTTGAAAAAATTTGTTCAGCATTAAATGGATTTGTTATATATACGTATGTGTGTGTGCATGTGTGTGTATGATTCTTTTAAAATTATTTCATAAGATATCAGTTTGGATGGTTCATATGCTTCAGTTCTTGAATTTCTTCTTAGATTTATTTATACAAAATGATCCAAAGGAGAGATTTTTAGTACAAAACTATTTTAGTTTTCTTGTTTGTGTTACATGTGTTAAAGCACAGAAAACTTTCTGTTTGCATTTTTATTGAATAGGTTTTTTTCATAGAGCTTTCATGGCATTTAAATTGATGTTGGTCTGAGATTTCGTCCTAGTTAATAAGAATAGTCCAATAAAATATTTTGAGGGGCTGGCCCCGTGGCTGACTGGTTAAGTTCGCACGTTCTGCTTCAGCAGCCCAGGGTTCTGCTGGTTTGGATCCTGGGTGCAGACATGGCACTGCTCATCAGCCCACGTTGAGGTGGTGTCCCACATGCCACAACTAGAAGGACCCACAACTAAAGTATACAACTATATACTTGGGGGATTTGGGGAGAAAAAAGCAGGAAAAAAATATTTTGAATGATTTAGATAATTTCTTTCAACTCTTACTTTCTTGGGTGATAGAATCAGTTCCTTTACTACTTTTATTTTTTATTATAAAAATTACTTGCAGTTTATCAAATCTAAAAAAACCTTTAAATTCTCATTTTGGAGAGTTTGAAACATAGACAAATAGAGACTGAATATTATAATGAACTTCTATGTACCCTACCTTCATTTGAAACAATTGTTGACTCACATGGGCACTCTTGTTTCATCTATATTCATGTCTAGTTCCCCACTTCAAGTGTTATACTGAAGCTAATTCCAGGCATTGTATCATCCTGTATTTCAGAATGCATCTCTAAAAGATAAGAACTTTAAAAAGCATATTCACAATATCATTATTACATCTAAATAAAATTCCTTAATGTTACTGAATATTAGGTGTCTAAATTTCCAGGTTTTTTTTTTTAAAGATTTTATTTTTCCTTTTTCTCCCCTAAGCCCCCCGGTACATAGTTGTATATTTTTAGTTGTGGGTCCTTCCAGTTGTGGCATTTGGGATGCCGCCCCAGCATGGCTTGACGAGTGGTGCCATGTCTGTGCCCAGGATCCGAACCGGCAAAACCCTGGGTGGCCAAAGCAGAGCACATGAACCCAACCACTCGGCCACGGGGCTGGCCCCATAAGTTTCCAGGTTTTAAAGATTTTATTTTTTTCCTTTTTCTCCCCAAAGCCCCCCGGTACATAGTTGTGTATTCTCCGTTGTGGGTTCCTCTAGTTGTGGCATGTGGGACGCTGCCTCAGCGTGGTCTGACGAGCAGTGCCATGTCCGCGCCCAGGATTCGAACCGACGAAACACTGGGCCGCCTACAGCGGAGCGCACGAACTTAACCACTCGGCCACGGGGCCAGCCCCAGTTTCCAGGTTTTAAACATTTGTTTGCATCAGGATCCAAATAATGTCCACGTACTGCAGTTGGTTGATATATTTAAAGAATCTCTAGATTTATAGGTTCCCCTTTCATCACTCTCACACTTTTATTTGCAGTTTATTTTGTTGAAGGAACTGGATGGGTGGTTCTGAGTTGTTGGTCTTGCTCTCTCTGTTTGACCAGTAACATCTGCAGTGCAGTTTAATGTGTTTTCTGCCCACCTGTAAGTTGATGGTTGATCTAGAGCCTTGATCAGATTCAGAATTAATCTTTTTTTTTTTTTTTTTTTGCATTTTGGAGAGGAGCAAGTCTTAATCAGATTTAGGTTCAAATTATTTATTTGAGGATGGGTAAGGTTACTTTGTGCATGGTGGGGTCTTCTTTCAGTGGACACACAAAATGTGGTGCGTGTCTTTTAGTGCCAGTAGCCACGGATGCTCGATGCCTAGATCCGTTGATCCATGAGATATTCTATCATTCATTGACTGGAATACTTCTCTAAAGAGAACTTCTCCCTCATCTGTGTTTCCCTTAAGAACTTATAGCACAAGCAGGATAAATTCTTGATTCTTGCATTTTATTTTCCATTCTTCAAAATAACATCTTCTAACACTGACCAATTTATTCTTTTTTCGTTTGATACCGTTGTGAACTCATGGATCTAAACACATTTGCTGTTACAGTTCTTTGCTCCTGTGGGAGCCTCTATAAGTTGGCTTCTGAGCCCTCTTGATACAATTGTAGTAGTCTTTTTTTTTTTTTTAAAGATTGGCACCTGAGCTAACAACTGTTGCCAATCTTTTTTTTTTCCCCTGCTTTTTCTCCCCAAATCCCCCCAGTACATAGTTGCATAATAGTTGTGGGTCTTTCTAGTTGTGGCATGTGGGACACCTCCTCAGCATGGCCTGATGAGCAGTGCTGTGTCTGCACCCAGAATCCAAACTGCCGAAATCCTGGGCCGCCGGAGTGGAGCGTGGGAACTTAACCACTCGGCCACGGGGCCCACCCCTGCAATAGTCTTGATGACTTCTTTGCTATCTGATCTGACGTGATGCTCCTGGATTATCTTGTCCAGCCATTTCTCCAAGGAATCCTGGTTCCTTTTAGTGGGAAATGGTATTTGGAGACCACAAACTAGAGGCCATTATTGCTGCTGGCTTGGTCATTGTTTTCTAGGCCTTTTCAATAAACGGTCTTAAGGGATCATGAGGTCATATTGATAGTTTCAATTTAAATTCAGACTGTGGTATTTTTACCTTTTATTTGTTTTACATTTGTATCTTCTTTCTTCCACACTGAGAAACCTGGTTCTTGAGGACATCGGGGATGGTAGAATTAGATTAGAACATCACAGTTACCCACTGGCTTTATCCCACATTGCACAGCAGTGTTGGAATGATGATACTGACCTTACCCCCAGCAGTATGACTACTGAAATGTTAAACAATTTGTTTTAGTTTTTTTTTCCCTTAGTATATCTCTCACTAAGAGTGCGAAACTATTCTTTTAACATGTGGGAATCTTTGGATTTTCTCTGGAAACCTGTATTTCCACTTTATTTTAAAAAATACTAAAAGTATATTCCTGGGGCAAGCCCAGTGGTGCAGTGGTTAAGTTCTCACTTTCTGCTTTGGCAGCCCAGGGTTCACCGGTTCGGATCCCAGATGTGGACATGGCGCCGCTCAGAATGCCATGCTGTGGTAGGCGTCCCACATAGAAAGTAGAGGAAGATGGGCACGGATATTAGCTCAGGGCCAGTCTTCCTCAGCAAAAAGAGGAGGATTGGCAGCAGATGTTAGCTCAGGGCTAATCTCCCCATCCCCCCAAAAGTATATTCCCTTGAACTTAATTAGAACTGAAATGAATTCTATTCAAAACACTTGGACCTAAGACTTCTTGAGTGAGTGACTTCTTGAACCTCTGAGGGTGCAGTCTAGGTGTGGTGTACTGATTTTATATTGGTGATCTGTTTTCATTCTGCTGAAGGAATTTATTGATCTGAATATTTATTATATCCCCTAAATAAGCTGATTAAATCCCCTAATTTGCTGTCCATTGCAGTTGGTAATGTGATAGTACATAAATGTAGAGTAAAACAACCATGATAAAGGATTGCTCAGTCCAATGAATTAATTGGTGTAAAGATGACATAGGTAGTCTTTCATAAAAATACTGAGAAGTTGTTTCTCTGCTCACTCTGGTTTTGTAATTTATTCATAATTTTAAAACTTTGGTAGGGAATGTAAATTTGAGTAACTATTAGAAAGTGCAGTTTTTTTTTTCTTACTACCATTTATGGAATACCTCTATAGGTAAAACGTTATTTTAGGTATTAGTGATACATATAATAGCTGATAATAATAGATAACCCTAGTTGAATGTAGATACTGTTTTATGAGTTTCACATGCATGAACTCATTTACTCCTTACAGGAGCTCTGTAGGTAGGACTGGTTATTATCTTTCTTGTACAGACAAGGAAACTTGCCCAAAGTCATCTAGCCAAGTGACAGAGCTGACCTCAGGCAGCCTACGTCAGAGTGTGTGCTCTTAACCAATATTCTGTTGTGCCTCTAGAATAAATTTGAGAAAAGACACATTTCCTGGCCAAAGAAAATGAATTCTCTGAGGCAGTAGAGTAATGGCTGATTATAGAATCAGTCTTCTGTTACCTAGTTATTAGCCTTATTCAAAGTCTTTTTTTATAGGTAAACTATTTTTAGTTGGAAAAAGTGTTAATGAGTATTAGTAATATGGTCTCCGTATTAGTGAACTCATTATTTTCTCATCAAGTATGTTTTGTTTTGACAAGCTCTTGGTCTCTGGCAAGTCCCTTAACACCCTAGGTCTTAATTTTCTTCTCTATACAATTGAACTTGCTAGTGTTATAAACCTTCCTATTGCTGACTTTTATATAACTTGTGAATACTATGTTTCAGCATCTTAAAAAAAAGCGTATTTCTTTATTTCATTAATAGCTTTTTAAAAAGAATTACAAAGTTATGTTCGTTGTTAGAAAATTTGGAGAAAAGAGAATACTACAAAAAAGAGGAAGATTCTCTGTTTCTAAACCCAAGTAAAATGACTGTTAACATGGTGGTATATTTCTTTCCAGGCTTCTTTCTAAATATTTTTGAGGTGTATGTTTATACATGATTGGAATTATTTTTTTAATATTGGATAATGACAAATCCCCTAAAATTTCTAAAGCATTTTTAATGACTGTATGCTATTGTCGCTTAGTTGTTTTAAAAATTGTATAATTATTCTTTTATTGGGCATTTAGATTATTTTGAGGTTTTCATTTGTTATTTGCCTCTATCTCATGATTTTCTCAGGATAGATTCTTTGATGATAACTTACTAGATTAAAGGATACTAACGGTAATTTGTGGTTTATAATAATAGTTAACATTTTTATATTTCAAAGGGCTGTTTGATATTTGCTGTTTTAATTAAAGTAAAACTGATTAACTAGAGCTGAACTAATGGGGCTCCTCAGTTAGATGGAGAGAGACACAAATCTTTCAACTAAGCAACCATATTTTTTTATTAAAAAACGTGTCAGAGTATGTTCTGAGATCAATACTCATTTACACTCAATTCCTAAGCTTATATCTATGTCACCACTGCTTTCAGAGAAATGTCCCTCAGAAATACGGGTTGGAGACAGCAGTGTCCTGAAGCAGCAGATATTTGATTATGTTCTTTCTACTTACAAAAGCAGAGAAGTAGATGAATATTTAAAAAAAGAAAGAGATTTTCAACAATAAGAGCTGTCTGAAAAGTTCGGTGGCTTACTTTCTCTGGCAGTTCCTGCTTCTAAGGTAGAATTTTAAGGTCAACTTGGGGTTCTAAACCAGGAACCTCTGAAACATCTACCCAAAAGCTAACCTAACAGAACACTTTGGACTTATTCTGTAAAATCTTTGAGAGCTTTGAAAAAATATTTCTAGAGCCAAATGTGACTGGTCTAATATTTTGAAATTCTTTTTAGGCAAAGGGGCAGATTTGAGTAAGCCTCCGTGTCGAAAAGCAAAGGAGATCCGGAAAGAAAGGAAGAGGTTAAAACTCATGCAGCAGAACCCAGATGGAGAACTTGGGGGTTTGCAGGCTCGACGGGAACCATCTTTCTGCCCACCGAAGGCTAAATCCAACCAGCCCAAATCCCTTGAAGATTTGATTTTTGAATCTTTACCAGAGAACGCATCACACAAGCTAGAGGTACTTTGGAGGGGGTTGGTTGGTTTTATTTTTTGTTGAGTACCTTATGTATTTTCATTTGAGGTTATACTAATCAGTTGATGTGTTGCTGTTTAAATAATGGGAAATTAAAGTAAACTGGGATTGATAATGTTCGTATTTACTAAATTAAATGCTACGTGAGAGAAACTTTTCTCTTTTGGAGATTAAAAAAAATAGGCAGTTTGACTACTAAAGTTCTGAAAACAGTTCCAGTTTTAGCCTGTTATTATGTAAGTTACTCTGATTTTTTGGTATCCCTTGATTGAAATTTATTAGTTAAAGTGAAAGAGAAAAAATACTATTTAAAATTTCACTTTTGGCAGTTTTGGTTTAGATGGAGAATAGATCACACTAGGCAAATCACTGTTTTATTCATCCTAATATTCTGATCTTGATCAAGGCAGCAGATGGTATTACATATGTAAGCCAGCTGTTAGGAATTAACTAAATAGTACTAAATTATACTACTGCAATCCTCTTATTAATTCCACCAAACCAATTTAGGCATAGTATTATTTTTCCAAATTTAATTTACCTTCCAGATAAGGTCTAGAGTTTTCAGTATTAGTTTGATATTATAAAATTTTTTTCTAAAACATTAGCCATAATGATTTTATCATATACTCATACCTGATTAGTAACTGGTCAGCCTTTGAATTTATAGCTTAATATCATCTGAGATCATCACTTATCATGAAAGACTTGATTTTAAAAATTGACTTTGACACAGTCTGAATCTGAGACTATATAAATATACATTATCAGACATAAGTTTTAATAACTTTGACTATTATAATTTTTTGGCTACTCGGATTTTGCTGTTGCCTTTCTCCTTCCTAAATTATAAAGAGAATTGAACACACTACTTAAAATATTTTATGAGGAGTCTTTTATCATTTGATCATAAATAGTAATGTATCCAGGGCACCGGGCACAGCTAACATAACACTTCTACAGTTGGCAGCTTTTCCTTTTTAGTGTAGTGATATCTAGGTGGATAGAGATTTGTTGTCCACTGGGTGTCACTCTTTCTTCATGGAAGAATCACTTCCCATGGCATACATGAAAAGTTTCCAATTATGCCTTTTTATTATATTGCATTTGATTTCCTGTTACTGTTCTATTTTGCTAACACATTTTAACTGGCTAGTAACTAATTAATGTTAAAAGAAATATTAGCCGTTACTGTGTGCAATTACTCTCTTTAACTCTTCTTCATTTTGCATATGAGGAAACTAAGGCACAGAAAGGTTAATTTATTTACTTGACCAAGGTAGTGACATTGAGATGTGAGTAAAGGAAATCTCACTTTAGAGTCTTCATTCTTAACTATGCTATGAAGTAGGAACACTTTGTGAGGGTTGTCTTTTATACTTATAGAAAAAGTTGTAAGTTTAGAGTTAGTAGTAATGCATGAAAGAGTATCCAAGAAATATATTCACATTTTTAGTCCTTCTGACTTACTGAGGGTGAGTTGCATACAACTAAAAATAAAGAACATTTATTTGTGTTTGTGTCTTGAGTCTCAGAAGTATTCTGCATTTTACGATAGAGGCAGGCTTACATAATTTGTTCATAGAGCTTAGTCTTAGAATTTAGACAGGATCCTCTGCCTTCATAATGTTGGAGAAATAATTTTTTTCTTTATTAACTGGTTGATTTTTAATGTTAAAATATGTTTATGCTTTAACATTTGTATCGAAACTTTTGGTTCTTTTTGGGTGGGAGTAACTGTTAATGCATATTCCATAGAATAATTAAATGAATTAATGAATATTGTTTTTTAACTCCTTCTGAAGGTGAGGGTGGTGAGATCATCTCCACCAAGTTCTCAGTTCAAAGCCACATTTCAGGAGTCTTACCAGGTCTATAAACGTTACCAGATGGTTATTCACAAGGACCCACCTGATAAACCAACTGTGAGCCAGGTCAGCAGGCCGAGTGTCATTTTCCTGTGCAATTGGAACTTCCCCTCCATTTAATATCATTGTATGGATTCTTGGTTTATTTGTGGTACCTTTTATTTATATTCAGTTTGCAGCATGTCTGCAAAGAGATAGGACTGTGGATTAATGGACATTCTGAAAGTGCAGATTTTACCTAGTGCCGTGTTAAGTGCCAGTAATGTATAATTTCAATGTGGAAAGTAACACAAAAAAGAAATTATCTTTGTTTAAAGTCACTCTGTTTAGATGCATTTATCTAAAAGTTAGTAATAAGTAAAGCTTTAAGTTAAAATATTTGGGAGAAAAAAGCAAAAAACCTATATTTTCATGGTAGGCGTACTTTGCATAACATGGTTATTATGCTTTATTCCCATTTAAAAGTCATGTATAGAGAGTTCATAACAGCTAAATCACTCTGTTGATGTATTACCCATACGCAACTGAGTGGAACTAGAAAAGTAAGACAGTAGAATGCTTTCATAGAAGTGCTTGTATGCTTGTAATTTTATAGATCAAATTACCCAAGAAAAATCTGGAAGGGGAGGAGGTTATAAGACTTAATTGAAGTAGAGGGGACAAAAGTAGTGGCCTAATGGCCGTTAGCAACAATATTGACTCTAGTGTATGCAGAGAACCACAGTAGGTAGATAGAGAAAAAACCAAAATAAAAATCAATTGTCCTGGCCCATATGAGTTTAAAATTTTCATATTAGTATAAAGTTAGCACTCCGGGCTCTGCCAGTCAGCCTGTTCCAGGGTTTATTCATTTCGTGAGAAATCCCAGTTCTGAGCTTTGGAAGTGGATTTGCGGAGATCTTACTCTAGCCTCACCTTCAGAAGCCTGTCGTCAGGTGGAGATGTTTCACTAGCATTTGCTTGTATTTTCCTTGCTCTGAAGGTGAGGTTAGTGCCTGTCTCCTTTGAGGACCCAGAGTTCAAGTCGTCCTTCAGCCAGTCATTTTCTTTATATGTCAAGTATCAAATGGCCATACACCAGGATCCGCCTGATGAATGTGGGAAGACTGAGGTACCTTTTGTTAAACGTTCTTTCCTATGTTGATGAGCTTGTCGATGAAGAAGCATAATACATAACTTTCTTATACCGTTTTCTTATCTATTAAGTAGAGCTCATGATCCTTTCAGTGTGTATTACTGAACTTTTGTGAAAACAAGTCATACATGTGAGCATTTTAAATCCCTCAGAAAAAGGTTATGTTCTTATTCAGTGTTCTCTCCAGGAATCTGAATGTAGTGTGTTTATATGTTCAGCCGTGGGGCTAAGTCAGCAGACATCACTAATGTCTGCTTGTTATGTGCCATCCTGTGTGCCATAGCACAAAGGAAACAGTCTGTCTTCAAGGAATTGATAATCAAATAGGAAGGATGGACCAATAAACAAGCGTATCTAAACAAGAAGCAAATGAGAAAGAATAAGTTGAGGTTATATAGAGCATCATTTAACAAGCATTTATTGATTTTCCCAGGCTGCAGTTATTTAGATGAACAAGAGATTGCATGGATGTCACAATGGGACAGTGATGTGTTGGAAGAAAGATGCCAACAGATACAGAAGAATTAAAGATTTGATTTTTTGTTTTTTTAATGACACAGAATGTGTTTGCTTAAAACAGGTGGTCAGTAAGGCAGGAGTTAAGGCTGCATGTTCCGTAAGAGAGGGGTGACTTCCAGGTCTCCCAGAGCCATTCTGGTTAAAGTGTGGTCTGCTGACCAACAGCATCTCGAACGCAGAATGTCAGGCCCCACCTCAGACCTACTGAATCAGAATCTGCCTTTTGAACGAGGTCTGCAGGCGATTCATGTGCACATTCTCATTTGAGAAGCGCTTCCATAAGTTCTCGTTAAGACATGCAGCTGTGGATGATAGTATTTACAGATAGGATTCTGCCAGGTGCAAGAAGCTCCCTTTGATATTCTCGGGGAATCTTATTCCTTTCTGAATGGTACTCTTTCCTGCTACCCTGGAGATTCTGGTTTTGTGCCTGCTTGCTTACCAGGTATGAGTACCTGGGCCAAAACACTCTGACATGATCTGGTATGTTTACTGGGTAAAGTAGAGATCACTTTCCCAGGAAGTGCACCCTCCGAGCCCCGCCTTAGGCTTCGGGCCTCTATGGAGTCTGTTCCTGCAGACTTAGTTCATTGCTGTGGGGACTCACAGTCTAACTGGGGTGACAGGTGGGTGAACAGTTCCAGCGCTCTTGGAGTTAGCTATTGGATTAGTATGGAAAGCATCTAAGTGTGGGACTGGAGGTTAGGAAGGTTCTTCTGAAGGAGGTGATACCTGAGCCAAGTCTGAAAAGATGAGGAAGTGTTAGGGCAAAAAGGGAGAAGGGCATTCTTGGTAACGAGACTATAGTTATGTGTTGCTTAACGATGAGGATACGTTCTGAGAAATGCATCCTTAGGTGATTTCATGGTTGTGGGGACATCATAGAGTATACCTAGATGGTAGAGCCTACCACACACCTAGACTATATGGTACTAATCTTCTGGGACCACCGTCATAGACGCCGTCTGTCACTGACTGAAATGTTGTTACGTGGCACATGACTGTAAATGTGAGAAGTATAAAGCACCACCTATGGAATATTCTTGCTGGAAAAGTTGAACCTGAATCTACAAGCTTCTAGATGTAATAATCAGTTTACAAAAAAATATGAGAGAGAAAGGAATATATTAAAATAACACCTGGGCAATTCTATAAGACAAATGACTTCATTTCTTTAGTAAACAAACCCCGTTTAAAACAAGAGAGGGAAATCTACTCTAGAGTAAAAGTTATAAACTTTAAAAAAAATATAACTATAATAGTATAATCACACTCAGCAAAATTAACAGTAATTATGTTATCTAATGCCTAGTGCATGTTTGATTTTGTTTTGTTGTCTTCAATATGTCTTTAAAGTTGGTTTGTTTGAATCAGGATTCCTGTAAGGTCTGTACATCATAGTTGATTGATATTCTCTTGAACATCTTTTAATTTAGAACAGATTTCCCTCGTTTTTAATAGCATTTTTTAAAAGAACCTGGGTCGTTTATCTTGGAATTAATTTTGCTTCCTGTTGATTCTTTTTGAAAATGTAAGCAAATATGTGTGTGGTATCTGTGGGTGTGTGATGTTTCTCTATATATGATATGTGTGTGTATATATGTGTGTATATATCTCTGTATATGCATGTTTATACTACATATACGTATAGGTACATGTACATGAACACGTTTCGCCCTCTTTCGTATAAAGAGGTGCTATATCAGACTTGTTTATATCTTGGCGATCACTGCATAACAATATATGGAGAGATCCTCATCATTCCATTTTCTAGCTGCATAGTACTCTTTTCATGGAATTAATCATAATTTTTTTAGTCATATCTTTATTGATGGCCATTTGGCTATTTCCAGGTTTTACTCTTGCATAGTGTTGCAGTGAGTACCCTGGTGCGTAGAATTTTTAAAATTTTTGTCAATGTGTCTTTGTTATAGGTTTCCAGGTTACTCGGTCAAAGGTAAATTCCTCTCCAGAGAGGCTCCTCACCATAGGGATTGTACCCTTTTGTAGGTAGCAAACTATGAGAATGCCTGTTCCACCATGGCCTTGGTCACAGAGGATTTTGTAAGAATTTTTAATTTTTGCCATGTACGTAGGAACAAAATTTCTGCGTGGTTTTAATTTTCATTTTTTTAATCATAAGTGACGTCGAGCATATTTTCTTATGTTTAAAATCCATTTGAATTTTTTCTTCTATGAACCGTTTGGTCATATTTTTGCTTGCTTTTCCAGGGGTACTGGGTTTTTTCTTTTCGTTTTAGAAACTCTATGTTAAGGACATTAGCTCTTTGTGATAAAAGCTGCAGGTATTCTCTTCTAGTTTGACATGTATCTTTTTACTTAGCTTATGATATTTTGCAATGCAAATATTGATTTTTATGCCATGAAATAATTGAGGGGCCAGAATTTGTAGGCCTCTATATGCAAGGTCTTTGGATTTTAACCTTAGTGTAATAGGGAATTATTGAAGGATTTTAAACAATGGAGCTATAGAATTCAGTTTTGTTGTTAAGAAATATATTAGTTGTGACTTGATAGGCAGCAGAAACCAAAGTTGAATTGATTTTTTTAAAGAAAGGATTTATTTGCATATGTAATAAAGAAGTTCTGACTTGTTAGATCCTGGGCAGATACTGTCAGGGCTGTGTCTCCTGCTTGTTGTCTCCCAGCTCCACTTTTTCTCTGTAATCATTTAATCTCAGGTAGGCACATGATGGCAGAGATGAATACTGCCAGTTTAAGGTATATCATTCTCGTAGCTAGTGATCTTAGCAGAAAATATTGTATGCTTCTTTTCTGATGGTTTCAGTAAAAAGTCCCAAGGAAGGTACTGATGGGCCCAACTTGAGATACATCCTTATCCCTGAACCATTCGCTGTGGCTGGGGCTGGAGAACTCTGGTCATGTCTGGATCACATGCCCCACCCGGGAGCTTAGGTGGAGGAGGGTCCTTATCTCAACTGCATGTTTTGAAAAGAGTAGAGGAGTGATTCCCACAGTAATATTCGACATTCCAAAATCTTGCATGGTACTGAATGTTGCTTTGATGGCAGGGTTGTGCGGGAGGTTTTTAATCACAAGTGATGATACTTGAGGCAGAGCCCAGGTTGAGTTATGATGGACCTTGAAGTAAGCCATGGTAGGAGGAGGATGGTAAGGATACACCATATACTTTGGAGGTAAAATTGATGAGTATTTGCTGTTTGACTTGAAGGGTATTTGGGGAGTTGGAAATGGAGGAGAGGGAAGAGTCCAGAGTGATTTTTCAACTTTCTGGCTTGGGTGACTGGATAGATCGTGGCAACTCTATCTGAGATAAGAAATACAAGGGGAAGAAGAAACTGTGTACTTAGGAACAGAAAATGAGTTCTGTGTTGGGTAGGTTGAGTTTGTGAAGCTTGTGGGACAACAGAAGATGTGAAGATAACAAATCAGAAATCAGCACCTGGGACTTAGCGTCTGCAGAGGGTCTAGGGCAGTGTTCTATGTTTAGACACAGGTGTGATTGAGGCTTTTAAAAAAAGGCTTTGTATTCTTCTGTCTTGGTGCTAGGTTGCATATTCTCGGTTTTATTTTAGATTATGGTACAACTCTAATGTGTTACTTAAATGATGATCGTATTGTAGATTAGTAATCTATACTATAAAAGTGGTTTTTTTTTTTTTTGAGGAAGATTAGCCCTGAGCTAACTGCTGCCAATCCTTCTCTTTTTGCTGAGGAAGACTGGCCCTGAGCTAACATCCGTGCCCATCTTCCTCTACTTTATATGTGGGATGCTTGCCACAGCATGGCTTGCCGAGCAGTGCCGTGTCCGTACCTGGGATCCGAACTGGTGAACCCCGGGCCCGCGAAGTGGAATGTGCACACTTAACCGCTGTGCCACCAGGCTGGCCCCTGAAAGTGGTTTTTTTTTTAAAGAAAGGTGAACATAGCATTTAATTAAAACTCTTTTACATTAAATTTTATTGTGAGCCATTCAGATTTTTATTTCCTTTTGTATGCAGTTACTGTACATTTTTTATTTACATTCATTACCATCAGTAGTACTGAACTCGGAACTCAGGACTGAAATCAGTACTGATTTGACCTTGTGTTTAAGTAGAAATGTATAATGGATTTCTTTGTTGTAGCCAAATAGTTTTTTCTTAGTGATCCATTTCATAGGGTCACGTACTTAGAGTAAATTTGTACTGGTGAAAAAGTTTTTGACAGTACGGTAGTCCCCACCATCTGTGATTTTGCTTTCCACAGTTTCAATTACCTGTAGTCAACCCCATTCCAAAAATATTAAATGGAAAATTTCAGAAATAAACGACTTGTAAGTTTTAAGTTCTGTGCCATTTTGAGTAGTGTGATGACGTCTCACACTATCCTGCTCCATCCCACCCTGGGCTGAATCATCCCTTTGTTCAGCCGTATCCACACTGTGTACTGCTACCCACCTGTTAGTCATTTAG